CACCGGGATCTCAGCACACGGATTTCTTACCCTCGGACGACTCATCCATCTTCGTTGGTTGTCTCTGTATCGAACACACGTGACAGACACCGGTCTGTTAAGTTTGGCCGGTCTTTGTCAACACCTGAAACACCTGAATCTGGGCTCATGCATGGATGTACAAGACATGGATACGGTACTCGATCACTTGACACGGAACAATACGTAAGTCTGACTCCTGCGTATTGGATGCTATAATTCAAATTAATTGATCGTATTTTGTCGACATCTGGGAGGAATATTAATGTACTAACCACGCCAATCACTTACCTGCTGAAGTGTGCAATACGTTTAGCACTGTTCAAACCTGTTCTAACGGGTATATTCTTGTGAGTAGGATACCAGCTGTTGTCAGATACTCTTCGTACTGTAACGCTTCACCGGTGCGCCTGATTAGCGGTTGTCGAGTAATTGAACTACTGTGTTTCCGTGGGGTCTATTCCGCGGTTAGTTAGCTCACCAGTGCATTCACTGGTTAGAAACACTAATATACTTAAGTGCCGTCAGCAATTGCGCTCTGGCATTTAATCAGTCCCTTCGTAAATTTAGTTTAGTGTGTTGTTTATCCTGAGCATAGTACTACTTCTAGCTACTTCTATCCATTGTTTCGTCCTCATGATCAGCCAGAAGTGCACAGGTGATGGTTATTCAAACTTGGACTGAACTAGTCCAAAACGAACAGCCTTTTAAATCCGGTTTTTTGCTTTTTACCAACCGGACTGGTTAAAGTGGATTATGTGGTTTCCTCTCTCTCATGTACTCTAGGTCCCCCGTAACTGGAGAAACGACCACCAATTCTGATAGTGCGTTCTCACTGTTAGCAGCATTTCTCGAACCCGGTTTATGCGAATTTGTTCGCATAATAACTTGAACAGCCGCACTTAAACCAATTGATAATACCAAGCTTTCGTTTTCAATTCGCTTGTAATCCGTTGTTTTATAAAACTGTTTTTTTCTCGGAAAGATAACTGTTTGATTGCTCTCCTGTGTTCCTTGCATTCCAGTGATTTACGATCAGTTAATCTTTGGCGTTGTGTAACCCTATCTTCTGTGGGACTAGACTATCTGACTCGATCCTGTCCCAAACTGGAAGAGTTAGATCTGGGCTGGTGTCGGAATATGACTATCACACCGGAGTCCAATTGTGTCACGCGGTTGATTCAGCACTGTCATCAAATTCGCAAATTGTTTTTAAGCGGCACAAGGTTGGTCATTCTCTCTGTCTGTCTCTGTCTCTGTTCCTGATTCCCTCATGCCCGTACATTCCTCGGTGCTGGTCATCGTAATGTGTTGACAAATGACCGGTTTTAAGCTTTGGACCCATTCCCGTGTACAATTTCGTTTATATTACGCTCGAGAACCCGAGCTGCAGTCATTTACACGTATATTGCAACCACTGTCGATGCGTTCCATGTCTACAAAGTACCACTATACCAAAATCTTATGGTTTGTCGTGTAAAACCGACCAATAAAAAACGGTTACAGTCTCTTGATAGCCGTCTCCCGCGTGCCAGAAATCAGTTGCAGTGAATGTCCACAACACTTTCTTTGGATTCANGGATTCAAACCCGGAAAAAACTGGTTGTTAGTTCGCTATACAGACTGAAACAACGACTTTACGTGGAGAAAAACCTTGTCGATCGTTCCACGCGTGCGAGGTTTTTTACCTGTTCATCTTTCTGCGCCCACCGTGTGGGGCTTTTTTTAACCAGATCTAAGAGCTGGGTTTCACTGCCATTAATGTGCGCTCACTTTCAAGATAATAGCGTCAAGAACACACATCTCGTCAAATCTGTTTCACGTGAGATGAGTAGGAAGCTTATTCAGAATTTCTATAAATGTATTTCCATAAGATCACACACAGGTGTCATTTATTTTTATCAAGGCGGAATAATTTGTTTTTTTCCCTTTATTTTCATCCACTTTTTATGACCAATGTCTTGCACTGATATACACTTAGTAAGTGGGCTCGGAATGACTCCACGAAATTTCTCGGAAAGCTCACACCTGGATGCTCCTGCTGATTAGATCAGCCGCGATGTGTGTTTGCTCCCTCCCCCACACACAGGAAGTATGCCTTTATTACTGCTAACGAATTGTTGCACATTGTTT